TCTGTCATTTCTTATCTGTTCCAATTCTGTGGGCAAGTTGATCTGAAATAATCTTTGCTTATCACTTATTATAAAAATGAGTATATGTGAAAGGCAATCTCTGCCTATCTCTCACTAAAGCCATGAACCATCTGTTAATCTCTCCCACCAAAGTGTGTGTCCAAATATCTTTCAAATATCTTTATGGCAGTAAGGAAATAAAACGGAGACACACTAAATAGGGATAGTTGTGATCTAGCTGGAGGAGAAGTGTCGGAGAAGGACTGCTGTTTGTGAAAGGATCAAAATGCCATTCTGGAAATGGCTAGAGAAAACAATCAAAAAAGGGAAATAGGACAAGAAAACAAAAGTCACAAAGCTCATAGAACATGGAAAGTGGTGATAGAGGAAGAAGTGGAAAGCAGTTGTCCGCAATCCACAAGAACCAGGACAAAGCCAACAACATGATTCATACATTCATGCAGAAAAGGAATTCTGCAGACACTTTTGAGAAAGGGTGAAGGCTGAGGTAGAGATGAATGGTGTTGTATCAACAGGGTTATATGAGCAATTGATGTTCTGTTATGAAGAAGCAATTTCAGACTGACACTCTTGAAGGATGAAACTGGAAAGAGAAAACAAGGGATTCTGAGGAAAAAAAGAGTCTGAAGAAAGTAATAGGAAGGAAAAACAGAAGTCTAAATCTTAAACTATAATGCAGTAAAAGAGTGAACAGAAAACAGAGGAGTGAGGTTAAGAGAGATTGTAGTGACAAAATTAGCATTTGGAAGAATAAAATTTGGCTAAATAGAATTCTAATTGTAAGAAATTAAATTAAAATAAGATTGAAAGGGAACAAATATTTAGTATAGTAGAGGGAGAACAACAAAAATATATTTGTATATAAGAAATATCTCCTTAGTATATGAGGAAACTTAATTTTTATTAATATTTTATTTTGTTAATAAAAGCCGTACATTATCATGCCTGTTTGTAACCATCTCTTATAAAAAAACTTGTGACAACATAGCTTAAGAAAATCCAATGGTGTAATATTTAAAATAATGCCTGATGACCACCAATTGTTCTGTGACAAAGTGTACACTTTACAATGCTGCAAAATGCTTTAATCAATAAAATACTGACAGGCAATTTACATTACATTCCCCACCCTTTACACACATACAAACATTATTTATTTTTTTACTTACTAGTATTGGGAGGGAAAATCCACTTCTTTTGCGTTCAGCCACTTCGCTCTGGTAATAGCAACTGTTTATACCTAGAAAGATGCCTAAAGATTTCATGGTTCTTGCACAAGACTGTTACAGAATGACAGGATTCCTTCCCACGTAATCCCAGATTTGTTGCCAATTTAATATTGTACATTGAAATAGTGTTTCTTCATTGTCATTTTTCATTTTATGCTCATTACTTTGGCAGGACTAGAAGCCCAAATAAGTAGGGCAAAGTGAGTTTCTTTAATGATTAATTAACAAGTCAATGCAATGTTTATACTTCCTACTTGGCAGGATGGGGCAACATTAGATTAGCTTTTCTCAGGTGTGGTTTCTCTAGAAGTTTCATGATAAATTATAATTGAAACATACACACACACACACACACAAACACACACACATCAGTTTTGAGTTTTTTTTTCTATAGTTTTCCCTAACGCTTTCTATTTTTTATTTTTATTCTTTTAGCGTTTATAGTTGTATATGGTTTTTATCTGTTTGACTACAGTGCTTCCTAAAATTATTTCAAATAGCATTTCACAGGTCTACTATTTATGAAGAAATATGCCTTTACATTTACATCCCTCCCAACATTTTACTGAATAATTTCTGCATTATTTCTGCTGAGATTAACTGCCATTTATTCTTGTATGGAAGCTAATAGATATTTTGCTGAATCCCTGGGTCACAATTGCTTACTTAAATCTATATCCCAAGTCATCAGTAACCTATTTCCATCTTCAGCAATATCGTATATAAATTAGAAATCATTCATTATTTTATACATTTCTTAAAATGGACCAAAGGAGATTCTGATATTTCCTTTAATGTTTTCTCATTCAAAATGATTTACATTGAATTTATATTTAAAAGTAGTATCTGACGACTTAATTAAATTCAATCTGTTCTGTACTGAATAACAAATTCTTGTCAGAGAAATCTCGTGTCTTGCATAAAATATCCTATTTTTTTACTTCAGCTTTTTATTTCTGTAATTCATATGTTGCTTCCCTGAATCAAGTGTTACACTAACCAGCAGGAACCATGGTTCCCTCTTTTGAGCAAAGACATACTTCAATACATTCAATACATTCAAGAAAATGCTAAAGAAATGCAAAGGAAAAAAGAGTAAGGTTCTACATTTAGGCAAGAAAAATGAAATGCACAGGTACAATATAGGTGGCACCTTGCTCAATCGTAGTAACTGTGAGAGGGATCTCAGAGTCCTAGTGGACAACAATTTAAATATGAGCCAGCAGTGTGCAGCAGCTGCCAAAAACGCCAACACAGTTCTAGGCTACCTAAACAGAAGGGTAGAATCAAAATCACGTGAAGTGTTAATACCACTTTATAATGCCTTGTAAGGCCACACTTGGAATACTGCATTCAGTTTTGGTTGCCATGATGTAGAAAAGATGTGGAGTCTCTAGAAAGAGTGCAGAGAAGAGCAACAAAGATGATTAGGGGACTGGAGACTAAAAGATATGAAGAATGGTTGCAGGGACTGGGTATGTCTAATTTAATGAAAAGAAGGACTAGGGGAGACATGATAGCAGTGTTCCAATATCTCAGGGGTTGCCACAAAGAAGAGAGAGTCAAACTATTCTCCAAGGCACTTGAGGGTAGAACAAGAAGCAATGGATGGAAACTAATCAAGTTATATTTTACTCTACATTTTATAAGTATTTAAGTAAGATGCTTTAAATTTCTGTTGAGTAGTCAACCCTTCACCCTGGTTCATAAATTTCATGCACAATAATATCTCTCAGTTGAATCTTGTGGGGTTTTTTTCACTCATGTGAATCTTGGATTATATATTCTAGGGACATGTTGTGCATTTTCCTTGGTGAGATGACTATAAGTACAAGTCCATTAATTTTTAGAATAAGATCTCAATAATAAGTCATTCTTTTCTGCTTTGTCTTGAATGCCTCCAATCCTTAACTCCCCCCCCCCGTTTCTATCTGTAACATCAGCCAAAAACAATTTCGTGTTTATAATATCTCTGTGAATTGCTCCAATATCATACTCAGTTTTTATAAATATGGCATAAGCCTTTCTAGATTTCTGAACAATCTCTGAAATCTGCATGGCCATATTCTTAATCCCGGCCGCTTATGCTCTGATATACCCTCAAAATCTTTCTGAAGCACTGGTGTTGATTTATCCAAGTCTAACTTTAATTCCTTCTTGGGCAGGAATTGTTTAATTTAGTCAACATCCAGATTTTGGGCAGATCAGTGTTAGTTTATTTGTTTGCTTGTTTGTTTGTTTTATAAATCAAATTTATAGACCTCCCATTTCACAATTGAAACGACTCTGGACAGTTTACTATAACTTCCATATAAAAACAGAGAAACAGAGTTAAAATATGGACAAAGTGCCCTTAGACCACTTACCATCAGGTTGCAATACTGTGCTTGAATTCCCATGCTGGTTGACAAAGACAGGTCTTAATGCTGTTCTGGAAGGCCAAAAGTGTAGGGGGGCCAACCTTTTCTCACGGGGCAAGATATTCCATAGAGCCAGGCTAAGGGCAGAAAAGGCTTTTCTCCTAGACCAGTGATGGCTAACCTTTTTGTCCTCATGTGCCAAAAGCATGTGAGCTTGTGTAACAGCATGCAAGTGTGTGTCCAGACCCATAATGCAGTACGGATGCAACATCCCCTTGCTCCCTGCCACCCTGCACATGCACACAACTTCCCCCCTCCACAGCCTGTTTTGGGCCTAGCAGGCCTCTCTGAAGCCTCCTGGGACCAAAAATGGGGCACGGGGGAACCACACACCCCTCGCACTCCCCTCACATATGCGACCCCCCCCACGCATACATGCACGTTTCCAAATTTGCGGCAGAGACCCAAATATCAGCTGGCTAGCAGAAGGAGCTGAGCGATAGCTTGTGTGCCTACAGAGTAATCTCCACATGCCACCTGTGGCACACATGCCATAGGTTTGCCATCACGGTCCTAGACCCTATTAGTGAAAATTCTTTATCTGACAGGGTCCTTAGCACACCCTTCCTGCCTGACTGGATGGAACAGGTTGCTATAATAGGGACAACTTTTCATCTTTGTGTACTAAATACAGAGGAAGAAGGCAGTATAAGTCAATACAGTTTATATATATTTATTTTTGTAGATTCTCACAGGTGTAGGTATGCTGGTCTTTAAATAGCGGTTGGTGTGTGTTTTTTTCCCCGGTAGATGGTGTGTTCTAGGGAGCCATTGGTTTTTTTGTAGATTAGGACATCCAGAAAGGGAAGTTGGTTGCTTGCTTCTATTTTCATAGTGAATTGTATTTTGGGGTGTAGGCTGTTGAGATGTGTGAGGAAGTTGCCCAGTTTTTCTTTCCCATGTGGCCAAATCCAAAATCTCCCATCAGTGAAGAGATCTAACAAAGAATCAACCATAGAGAGAAATCATTGAGATGCCCCAAGCTTTATGGCCTCCGCAAGATACACAAAGAAGGAACACCACTCNAAAAAAATAAACAATTAAAGCTATTGTCTAACATTGTGAACATGGAAATTTAACCACTTAAGGATATTCATATAGAAGCAGTGATTTGGCCGAACTGGTAATCGTTTGGCGGCCTGGGCTGTTGGAACTAGCAGCAACCCAGGCCTGCCACATCCCAGAACTGATTCTCTGGGTGGCACTGTAGGCAGCACATCTTGTTTTGGGGTTCTGTACATGCGCAGAACAATTTTAGTGCCTGCCAAAACCCATCCCTTTATAGGAGCTCTTGGAACATAACACTTAACATGAGCAATAGATCACTTACCACTTGTGTTTCTAAAGCAACTTGAGCAAAACCTATGCCAGTTCCCCAGACTGTGTTGTAATATTCATCACTAAAGTTTGCTTCTCTTAGTCCACCAGGTGCGAGTCCTAATAAATGGCCTTTCTTGAGAACTTCAACACACTCTACTTTTGTGCCTTTTATGCAACCCACTACATCAAGAGACAGTTTTATACCTATTTTAAAAAAAAACAGAGGAAAGCAGAATGTTATAGAAAAGCATTATTTTGGACAAAAAATAAACATTATATGGCTGTAACTATAATGTTGTATAATATGGTATAATAACCATTGTGACAATTATTGTGATTTCTGCCTTTTTTCCCCTAACATTCTGGGGGCTTTAAGGAACATACTTTTTCTGAATGTTGCAGTGTAGCCAGATATGGGTTGAAGTTGAAGCCACAAATGGTCTCATTCTTTCATTTCCACATTGCATCCAACAGCTCAATTTTACAATTATTGCTTTCACTGGGATTTATGGCTATTGCTTTCTTTCCTGGGTTTAGTAGGAAATTTAGACCCTTTCATATTAATTGAAAAACAAACAAACAGACCATTCAATGACAGCAAGCCATTATCTGGAAGTTAATTTGCAGGGTTTGGTCTCTTAGATGCTTTAACTTATAGCTCCAATTAATAAGGTAAAGGTTCCCCTTGCACGTATGTGCTAGTTGTTCCTGACTCTAGGGGGCGGTGTTCATCTCTGTTTCAAAGCCGAAGAGCCAGCGCTGTCAAAGACATCTCTGTGGTCATGTGGCCAGAATGACTAAATGCCAAAGGTGCAGGGAATGCTGTTACCTTCCCATCAAAGGTGTTTCCTATTTTCCTATTTGCATTTTTTACATGCTTTCGAACTGCTAGGTTAACAGAAGTAATGGGAGTCCACTGTATTATGCAGTGCTAGGGATTAAACCTGCAGGAGCTTAAGATCTGCCGACCTTTCTGATCGACAAGCTCAGCAGCTTAGCCACTGAGCCAATGCGTTTCAATCAGCAAACTTTTTTTTTCTCACTATTTAATGCCTAGTTTTATGAAAAAAAGGCTGTGCTCAGGAATTCATTTAAACATTCCTGCTGGGTTCCTTTCCTCACTAAGGCTACTCACTTTGTAACAGTCAATTGTGTGTTTGTCCTATTCTAATGGGGGAGCTCTGAAGATTTTCTTGCTAAAAGTATCTTCTGTGAAGATGTATTTCATGGTGCATGTTCTTCAGTTCAAGTCCAGTATATGATGTTTTGATACATTAGTATGTGACTCTTTTAAATTCATTCTACTGTATCTTAGGGAAGATTTGTTTTTAGTACAAGTGAATTTTTCCTTTGATTTTGGAACTCTTCTATTAAACCTGCCTCTTTGCAGAAGTATATCTGGCATGCTGAGTAAGATTTAAATAATCATCTTCTGAGTGGCAACTGAAACACAAATGGGCTATGGATATAGCCACACTATAAAGGATAAAGTAGTTCCTTATTTTGGAAAACTCTCTTTTAGATTTAGTTGATTTAATCATGTATTTTCTTGGTTTTGCTTTTGAATTTTCCTTGTAAAGCAAAGTTATGAACATAAATAGTAATATTTTCAAAAATATTTATGAAGGATTTTGTCCCCCTTGTTTTCTGGTTTGCACACTTTTCTGGTTTGTCCTTTATTTTTTCCAAGAAAATATAGTCACTGTAGCTATGGATGTCTTTATGGATTTCAAGTTGCACAAACAAAACACTTGCTTTAAAACATCTTGCATCCTTTTTATGGCATGCTCATTCTTTGGCATGAGCTTTTTGCCAGGAAATTGAATTTTTAGAATACTTAAAGCATTACTTAAGGCAAAGGGTAATTAAATTTAAATTAAATTAAAATTAAAATGTAATTAAAGGTTAACATATTTACCTGGTATTAAATACATGCCATAATGAATCGCGGAGCGGACCAATCTCCCAGTTTTTGCATAGAAATAAGATACAAATAAGGCATAGTCTAAAGGAATAGCTCCATGGTAATAAACAATCAGCCCTGCTCCTTCAGGTACATTCTCCATACCAATGACCTCATGACCTGAAAATGCAAAATTTTAGCAATAAGTAAAGAAATTAATAATGTCTTAATGCTTAAATATAGAAAATATTAATGTAAAGAATAAAAAAGATGCAATGTACCACTCTTAAACAATTCCCAGATGTCAGAAAACCCTGCCAACATGATCAATATATCTCCAAGGAATCCTGGGAGTTGGGCTCTCATTATATGTGACAGTTGAATGCTACATTAATCTCTAGGAATATCTGTCAACAGCAAGTGAGCCTGAGATAACACAGGTTGAGTTTAAGCATAAACCTAAACCAGGAGTGTCACATAAGTCCTGTGGGCCGCATCCAGCCCATGGGGTGCTTAATTCAGCCTGTGAGGCAGCCATGGAAATGGCAAAGGACCATCCCACAGTGCCCCTGCCAGAATAAATGGAGCTTGGCAGGGCCATGCATGGCTCCCCGGGGTCTGTTTTTGGCCTGGACAACCTCCTGCAGCCCTCTGCCAGTAAAGATGGAGGCCAGGGGGGCTGTGCATCCAGGCCAAAAATGGAGCCCAAGGAGGGGGAAGCTCCAAAGTTCAATTTTTGCTGGCAGATGGCTTCAGCAGGCTATCCATGCTCAAAACAAGACTGGCAGAGGGTTTCAGCAGACTATCTAGGCAGATAGCCATACCCTCCCCCAGTTCCATTTTCGCTGACAGAGAGCTAGCAAAACAAACTAAAAGCAGGAAAAAAGGAAAAATGTTTCCCCTTTTGCATTTAAGCACCCAAGAAGTGTCAGGAAAGGAGAAAGGGAAAGAGGAAAGACAAAGAAAAAGAAGGAAAGATGGGAAGAGAGCAAGGAAGAAAAAAGAAGGAAAGAGGAGAAGGAAGAAGAAAGGAAAATGAAGCGAGAAGGAAAAGAAGAGAAGGAAAGGAGGGAAGTCCGGCCTTAGCACTTGGCCACCAGCAGATGGTAAGGCTCCACTGGAGGACAAGGGTTTGGCACTTTCCCTATCTTGCCTTCCTCCACTGGAAACAATGGATCCCCACAGCCCCGTCTGGGTCACCACAGGTGCCCCCGAAATGAGTGATGTTGAGCTGGCCAGGACCACACCAGCCACGCCCACCTGCCCCTTGAAGTCAAAGAAACCCTGATGCAGGCTCAATGAAATCAAGTTTGACACCTCTGTCCTAAAATGTGAAAATGTGTGATTGCTTGACCTCATTTATTCCATCCTAGGCTATCATCTGACAGTCTTTTGCATAATGACCAAGACCCATCTAGGATTATAGCAAATGGGAAACTTTCCATCTGACTAGTTTTGCACAGCACTTTTCCAACAGTCACTCAAATTTAATTTTTCCTCACTTCTCCTAAGCAGAATCCAAAATAGTAGCTGAGCAGTGTCTTACCATGTTTCCTGGGATTCATATTAGAGCCTGGACCCTATTGAAGTGGTAGGTTGCACTCTGATACGTCCTTGGGAATTTGTGAGCTTGAGTTTATGATCCTCCTTGCTTCTATGTTAGGCACAAGTGGCAGCAGGATGCATGGATAGGTGGGAGATAAAAGGCTGGTTTGTGGAGATAATCCCTTCCTCAGTTTGAGAGGGATATGAACATAGTACCTGCAGTCTTGATGGAGACTAGAGATCTTTTTCAGAATTTTTTCCTGTTCTCTAACTTCTCCTATTAGGAAAGGTTACTGAGATCATTCTTATAGATAATACAGAACACACTAGATGAAGCAGATTATTGGAATTCTTCTCAATATGAGAAGAACTGACTCATTCATTCTTCAGGCCTGAGCATGAGATGGAGACAGCATTAGTCACTCTTCTGCATTAGCTTTGTCAGGACCTGAAAAGAAATAGCACCTTTCTCCAGTTCTTTAGACTTAGAATTTAGGTGGTCTTTAAGACCACTGAACATCACTGTCCCTGACTGTTAAGAAATGCTATTAATCTCTTGACGTTTGACTATCTGGATGAAAGAAAACAGGATGAGATGGAATATTACAAAATGGAGTTATAGTTTTAAACTACTTGGAGGTTTTCTGCCAGTTTCCATGTTGGGGTTCAATAATATGACACTCTTGAGTGGTAGGGATCAATGGATCTTTCTGGACTTAAGGCTATTGCTTTTTGGGTAAGTGGAGAACATTGCTAGATGAAATTTTGCCCAGCTTCTTTGGGGCAACAGCTGCATCCCTAACTGGAGCAGCAAGACCTTACTTCTGTGACAGATGCCACTATCAGTTCTGGAATCTTCTCTATGTGAGGCAGAAGTTTCAGTTGCTTAAGAACTGCCAAATTGCAGGCAACCTGCAATCAGCAGAAGTAGCCTGCAATACTGCATTCTAACCACTGCACCACCACCACTCATGCTTAAGAATGCACCAGTCTGATTATTGGTTCGTGCTCCAATCATAACCATAAACCACAGATAACCACAGATAAAAATAACCACACACCATGTGTGTGTGTGTACATATATATAAAAAATCACATTAACAATAAATATTATAAAAACAGAAACAAGTGTAGAGGGGAGTAAAATAGCCACCTCAGTAATGGAGCCATCTATGCAGGTCTCCAGTTACCAAGATTGCTAGGGCTGATAACATAATTAGATCTTGAGGGCCAGCCAGAATTTCAAAAGGGATAAAGCTAATCTAATTTCAGGAAGAAGACTGTTCCATAAATTTGGGCACTACAACAGTTACAGCAGATCTCCTGGGATCCAACAACTGTAGGTCCTTAGCTGATAGTATCTGCAGCATGCCTTGTCTGGTAGATCTAATGGGGTGGGTTAACGTAAGCTGGGCAAAGGCAGCCCTCAAATAACCTGGTCCCATCCCATGCTTTATAGATCAAAACCAGCACCTTGAATTGGACATTTTTAAAAATGTTGTATCTCTCCTGAACTCACCTATGTGTAAGTCGGAAGGGCATATACATTTGATTAATAAAATAATAAATGGTTAAACAAACAGCATTCTTGATTCTTGATTATGTTCAAATTATTTAAGAAATGACTCACCATGCCATATCTTTCCATATAAGTTCATACATTGTCCCAGCATTTGCCTTGGTTTTCTCCAGAAGGTATCTTCCTCTTTGGTATATGTTTTCTTCCAAGTATAAAAATAAATTGTGCAAATGTGGGCAATTAAAAAAATGGTTGAATATACAAAATATGTAAGAAGAAAAAGTACTGATAATAAGAGCAGAAGCTGAAGTATAGAGCTCACAGATTCTGCTAAGTGTACAAAATCAATCCAGTCTTTCACCATGTAAATAAACCATGTTATAGGTTCATATTCAGAAGTATCCAACATAATTGCTTTATTTTCATTCATATTAAAGAAGAAATTGAAAAAAAATGATATAATTATTGGGAAAAATTGATGATATTTCTTCTTTTTTCTGGAAAAAAGAGAAATTGTGTTCATTTCTCCAAAGTATGATGTTGCATTTACATTTTTAATCATTATTGATTTAAGCATTACTGATTTAATCACTTAATTGTTTAAGTTTAATCATTAAGCTTCTTTCCCCATACTTCAAAATATCTAGTATAGTAACATTAATCATCTTCAAGAACAATAAAAAAGAAAATAAAAAGGAATTATTTCCTGGCAAGGAAATAAAGACATTTAGTGATACATGTATTGTTGCATTGTTGTGTTATTTATCACCTTGACTTGCAAATGCAATAATTGGATTTAATATAATGAATCTTTCTACCCACAGAACTCTCCACCACAAGTAAGGGCAAGAGAGTGAGAAAAGCCAAATTTAAGATTGTCAAATCATTTTAACATTGGATTTAGGTCAGCGTGCATGAATAGGATTATATACCAACATCTCTCTCTTCCTCCCTCTCTCTCTCTCCCTCCCCTCCCCCACTATCTCTCTTTCCCTCATCTTTGAGTCAGTGTTCACTTTTGGTGACTTCTTGGACAAGTCCAAAAGTGATTTGGCATTGCCTGTTTCCTTGGGCTTGGAGAGGATGATTAGACCAAGATCAGAAATGTGGTTTTGTGGGAAAGAAGGCGGGGCTTAGCAGTGAGAAGACGGAGTTTCAGGCCATTCCTGAAATTCCCCTATTCCGGAAGAAATGGATGGGTCATTTACGATCCTAGCTGTCCNCCACATAGGATGATGCGAAACAGCCGACCAATCTACAAACATCAACTCCATCTACCAATCAGGATGCAACTACACAGCCGATCAACCCACTTAAAGCAATAAAGCCAGCACTCAACACACATACACCAAGTTTTATAGAAAGACGACAGCCTGATACCTTAACCACTTTGACTAAAACCATCTATTTCAAATATTTTTCTCATACATCCTTTCTTTCACCATCCTCTTTTCTTTCTTTTTCTTCTTTCCAACCCCTTCCCTGCACCAATACAGTAAATATGGAGATAAATAATACTCCCCTCTTAGCAATGTTCCACGTGTTGAAGATTGTGATTCACAAAAATGTTTGCGGTAATATATTTTACTGTGTTAAAGTCTCTTCAGGTGTTAAATTTCTATCATGATTATTTTGAATGTCTGAGAGTATTAGGTACAATTGTGTTTGAATTGGGTCAGTCTTATGCAATTGTTTGCCAACTGCCTTTTAGATAAGCATTTAAGCCTGAAATCAAATCTTGCAATGCCCTGTACATCAGGCACTTCCCAAGTCATGAAGACACTCTCAATGTGTTTCTAAACAAAGGATTTAATTCCAGTGTGGATTCATCTAATCCAGCCCACTAGTTTGAGAATATCATGGGTCACTTTGCAAATGTTTTCCTGAGAGTGAGGTTTTCTATATTCACAGAATTTACTATGATCAACCTAACCAATCATAAAATAGGTTACTGGTAAACCAACTATAAAATAGATTACTGTTAATCTGGAAATACCTCTTAAGAAACCCATACTTTGCCACCCCATGATGTCCAAACTACTTAGATATTTAAACTTTATAATCTGCTTTATACTCTTTCCACATATTGATCTCATGCTGACCATTTCATATCATCGTTTTGCTTCTTTTTTGGGAGATACTGACAGTATTTTACCTTATCCAATCAACTCAAACTTTACTTACTTCTCAACAAACATAACTATCCAAATATTTAGTGGATGTTATCTTGAGCAATTGTAAGTACATTTAGGAAAGCTTTGGTCAATACTCTTCTACTCATTCTGCTTCTTCAAAGTTCAAAAGGTAGAATGTCTGTTTTTTCTGTTAAATATTGCTAAGTGACAGTATCATTGCCTAGGACAATTGGTATGCAGTTATCCAGCTAAACATTCCTTTTTGCTTTTTAAAGATTAACACAACATTTGCTCTTCTCCAATTCCTCTGGTGCTACACTTATCCACCAAGATTTTTCCAGGTTCACAGAAAAGGATATGTCATCTGGAAGCTTTTTGCATTGATTTTGCTTAAATCCATTGGAAAGACAGTAGGAATTGGCTCTGCCCACTTCTTGCCACCTGTTATTCTCTGAGATGCAAGCCCACCCATTCCTTGTAGCAATTTATATTAGATTTTACTATTATAATCAAAATTCTTAATAAAAAACATATATGCAGAAACATACAGACATCTATACAGAGAAAGAAAGGAAAGAAAGAAAAAAAGAAAAAGTTAAAAACTGATAGGGTCTTGGAAAGTATGTTGGTTTTAGGGAAAACTAATTCAGGGAAAATGAGGAATATGAAAATTTTGTTACTGTTCCATAATCTTTTAGAATAAGTGCCAAAACTAAACACTATTAGAATAGGTACTATTGTGTTCTGAAACATATAGAACATATAGAACAAGCCTCTGGAGTCTGGGGAGAAAAAAGCATGGAAAAATGGGGGGAGCGCCTCTCATGTGCCCATGTGCACTGGGGGGTCGCACGTTGCATTATGGGTGTGGCACCCCCATGCACAACCCCTCTGAGCTCTCCCCCTTATGGCACTAGCCAAAAAAGGTTTGCCATCGCTGATCTAGGGCTTCGCAGGGGACAAAAAACAGCATGGTTTGCACTAAGAAGCCATGTGCAGCTTCTAGAGCAGATGTCAGGTCCCATAGATCTCTATTGAGCTCTTGCCATTCTGGCAGGAGGGAGGAACATCTGGGTTATGCTTGCGTGGAATTTTCCTTTGTTCCTTTCTCTCCTTTGATGCACCTTTGGGAAGTTGGGAGGGGGAAAGAATGTGCCTTGGGCATCTGTTTTGTTTCAGAGCAATTTTTATTGCACTGGTTGGCCACGCCCACCTCCTTTGATACTCACTCTGCCTCACCTTCACCATGTGGATCCACAGAACTGCCTCCTTCTGCCTACACACAGGTAAGCAGAATTTGTGCTATCCTAGCCCTCCCTCCCCACAGCTGCAACCCAGGTCCTGCTTGGCCAACTGGGCAGGCGGCAGGGAAAGTGGCGAGGGAGCAGGTGGACAGGCGGGAGAGACCGGCCTGGCCTCCAATGCTCCATCCTGCAGGGGCTGCAGCAATGAGCAGTAAGGGAGGCAAGCCCCATGCCATGGGATGGCCAGCTTCTCCTGCTGCTGCATCCTCACCTTCCAAGCAGAGCCACTGCCAGTGGTGCATCTCCCATTTTGCCCCTCGTGCACCCCCTCCACGCCACTGCTGCTTCTACAGCACGGAATGGTCCATGTGCCCCACACATGTCCCTCAAAGCCAATGTAGATGTTCCTTCAGGCAAGCTATTGAAGCTTGGGTCTTTTGTTCCATCTCCCCTTCTGATCTGTTTCATCCAGCCCCACTTACACACACAAACACCCCACATTTGCTGTGGTAAGAGGCAAGCACAGCGAGAGATGTTTCCCTAGCAGAAGCTCGGCCTTCTCCTCCCCACCCCCAATTTCTCCCCACCCCCTTGCTTGCCTGGCGCCATGACAAGCACATTGTAAGTGCTTGATGTAAGAGAGTACAGCATCAGTGTATTCATACAGGTCTTGAGGTTCAAATACACTCCACTCAGTAGTTTCAAAACAGTCCTGCAGCTGACTGAGAGCCCCCTCTGGCCAGTGATTAACCATTTTCATGGCTGGCTGAATTCTTTTCCTGAGAGGGACATACTTTGGGCATCACAGGAGTGAAAGATTGCCAGGTGGAGTAGGGGGATTGCTCTTTATGCCTGTGCTAGGTTAGAGTACACATGGTCTAAATTCTTCCCTGTGGCGGAGAACTGTACAACTGCACAAACCTAGGGAGAACTGTCTTTAGGCACGCTTGATTGAGCCCTCTGGATGAATTAAAAAGTGCCCTCTGGATGAGTTTGCTGCTACCTGGGGATGATGTCATATAGCTTAGAAAATGCCATGCTGATATTGGCATCAGGTGGCATATAAACAGCTATAATGATTATCACAGTGATTTCTTCAGGCAGATAAAATGGCCTGCATGTGACATATCTGGGAGCAACACGTATAAACTACTCTGCTGTTAACACACCAGCCACTGTGTATATAGATACAGTGTCCTCCTTCCTTGCTCTTACCGAAGTCGCCATTTCTGTCGGAGCGATAAGTGACACAGCTTGTCAACCCCACTGCCTCATCGGGTACAGATGGATGTAGCCAGGTCTCCGTTATGACCATCACACAGCTTTCACAGAGAAGCCTGTTTGCTGCCATCTGCAGCTCTGATTTGTCCATTTTGTGGATGAGAGATTTGGCATTCGTCAAAAAGACACTAGGCACTGGGGCTGCTTTCAAAGCCAACTGGCTTTACAGCCTCGCTTTCCTTTCCACTCCTTTCGCTTTAGTTTGTGCCTCCAAATTGTAAAATTTGAAATTAAAATTCACAGCTTATTCACAAGCATATACAAGTAGTCCTATTTTAGCAATTGCCTTGGACAATGAACATTCACAGTTATAACAGTGACAAACCCCCACATTTACAACCTTCACAGTGTCTCTCTCTCTCTCAGTCACTTCCTGAAACAAAGCATTGGTGTAGGGTCATGATAGCAGTATTCCAGTATTTGAGAGGCTGCCACAAAAAGGAGGGGTCAATTTATTTTCCAAAACAGCAGAGGGCAGGACAAGAAAAAAATGAATGGAAACTAACCAATCAGAGAAGCAAGCTGGAATTAAGGGGAAAAAAACTTCCTAACAGTGAGGACATTTAACCAGTGCAACAGCTTGCCTTCAGAAGTTGTGGACACTTCATCACTGGAGGGTTTTAAGAAGAGACTAGACAATCACTTGTATGAAATGGTATAGGATCACCTACTTGAGCAGGGGGTTGGACAAGAAGACCTCCAAGGTCTCTTCGAGCTCTATTCTGGTTAAAAACATCATATTTCTTCTTGCTAATTTCCCCAGCACCACAGAGACTATTCAAAAGGACAGGAGAGTGCAGAAAAAGGGCTGTAAGATTTGCCCTTTTACCCAGCTTCCTTCCAGGCTTGCATTCAAAGTTCTGTCATCTGCCCCTTCATGGTCACATGACCACATGGTATTTGGCAACTGGCCCACATTTATGGCTGTCTGCAGTATTGCATGGTCATATAACTGTGATATATTATTTTATTTTCTTGAAACTAATATGAAAAAGGGTTTACTTCCTTTCTGCCAAAAGAAAAAAAATCCCGTAGCGAACGGTGGGCCCACTTAACAACTGTGG